TTAAACCGTAATTAATTAGTAAATGATAAACACTTTTATACTTTGTATGAAAATTGTTGCTTAATTTTCAAATTTACATAGAAAATTAGGTTGTTTGATCTATGGTGGATATGATAGGATAGATACTGAATATCATATTAAAATATTATTTGATATATATCATGATTTTGGTATTATGATATTTGGTAATATTTTAAAAAAGATTTGGTAATCAAAATATTGAATATCGTACAAAAATATATAATTGCATATACAATTCAACTATATTATTATGATACTAACGAACTCATAAACTAGCATTAGTATCAAACTAATTATTTAGTCGGGAATGTTGACTACTCTATTTTGATTTAAATATCCTTTTTGGGTAATTGATTAAGGAAATTGTTTGTACTTTCTTTTGAATTGTTACTATGATATAACTGAAATAATTTTTGAAAGCAAAAGTCATAATTTTCTATTATATGTAAGTCAACTCTAACAAATTATGATTAGCAATTTATCATACCAAATCAAAAAAATATTAAAATCAAATTTAAAAATATTGAAACGATATATACCAAATTAATTTGATATGATAATAATATAATATTTTTAAAATAAAAAATAGAAATTTTAAATATCATATCATGTCCACCCATAATTTAATTAGTATACTTCAAATCATGTCACATAAAATTGTACGAAGTAGTTCTATTTACCAATTGTTTTGATAGCAAGACACATGATCCAAAGAATTTGAATTTATTCTTAGTGTTCTTGTAAATATTCAAAATTTTAAGTCACTTCAACTTTTAACCAAATTCTTTTAAAGTTGGCCAATAAAATTTTAGATCTAGAATAATAATATGACAGAGAAGAGATAATAAATTTTATTTTTAGAGGAAATAAATGGTTCACATTTAATTGTTTTGTCATACCAAAGTTGCATGCATTTCACTAGCATAAATTATCATACCAATTACGATGGAAGGAATAGGATTCCTTTATTTTAATTAGCTATTACAAATACAAATTTGATAAATGAAAAAAATTCTTAATAAGGAAATATTATTTATTATCATGAAACTTATATATAGCGTAAAATCAAATTTCAAAACAAATATCAAACACTATTTGAAGGGTTGAGAATACCAAAATTTTATTTAATCTTAAAAAGAATATTGGGAAGAATATTATTACATGTGTGTGAAGTTTCCATCCCGAATATATAGGAGCTAGAGACATAAATGATATATCCCTAACATTTCAACACGTCACAAAAATAGCAATAATAAACGACTACGTTTCAGTCTCAAATAAATATTTAGGGTTGATTAATTTTATATAAACTCGTCTCAGACAAATATTATTGATAGCAATAATTAAAAAAAAATAGGTGAATTAATTTTTTTAACTCACATGATATCGTTGGAAGTTAAAAATCAGTTTTATGATTCTTTTTTTAATTCCATAAATATAGGTATGTACGCAAACGGTAAATATGTATCATTTGATAGACAACGAGGGTAAATATGCATCATTTGTTAGATGGTGATGATATATATACATTATTTGTTAGACAATGAGTGAGGTATACATGCATCACCTTAATTTTAAACGAATTTCAAAATTGAGGAGTATATTAGCCCCTATATAAATATAAGATAAAAAAATTACAAGTTTGTTGTATTTTCTATTGACATAAATATAAATCTACAAAACACTAAACAAATCCCATAAAAGCAAAAGCCAGAATTTCAATTTTATAGATTCTAAATTTTAGAACAACGACTTCAAGTGTTATTAAGTAGATTTTAAATTTAATATTTGTACATATTTAAAAATTTTATTAATATAAATATACTGTTTAACCAAAAATTATTGGGTTCAACTGAATCTGTATCTAGACGCAGAGGCAGACGACCCATGTATTCATGTGAGGGTGCACGACTGCACGTCATGCACCCGTTAACTTCGGAAAAAATAATGTATATATATAATTTGATGTGATAAAAGCAACGGGGTTGATAATGTTGAACTTGTGACCTAATGGTGCAAAGTGAAGTTCAAAATCAACACTCCACTAAGCAAACTTTATATACTTAAGTTATTTAATTCAAATGTATAGGTGGAAAAAATAAAATAAGAAGAGTTCGATAATGCTCGATCTTTAAAGGCCCTTAAGAAAGAGGCTGAAGTCGTTACATTAGTTTTATATTTCTATGTTTAATAGAAATATCCCACGAATCAATATTGAATGATATACATTAACCAACGTGCATTTATATTAATTTTTATTTCTCATGAATGATAACTTATAAAGGTAATATATAGAGGTAAGTCTTTATGATAATCATTAAATGGTAACTAACTTGTTATAATAAGTGATATATATATATATATATATACATATATATATACACACACAAAATCTAAGATCTGGGAGTATAGTAGTGAAGTAATCCAGCTAGAGAATAGAATCCAAATATTCCTTTTTGGTGTAAAGTTTTATTTAGTTTTACAATACTGGGCAACCCTGTACACAAATATTCCGCATTAGCAAAGTTCGGAAAAAGCTCACATTTTTAAGGGTGTAATGTAGACAGTCTATTTCAATACAAGTATATTAGTGACGGCTTCCACAACTCAAATTTGTGATTTATATATCACACAAAGACAATTTTACTGTTGTTTCAAAACTCCATATTACAATCCTAATAATTAAGAATTTAAAGGAAAAAAAGTCATGAAAATAGGGTTGATGAATAGACAAAAAGCATCAATGCTAGAACAAAATTAATTAATAAATAAATGGAAAATAATAATGTTTGGTTAGAACATTATTAAACTTTTCATTGCTTTATATTTATCCCCCCCCCCCCCCCTATTCATGAATCTTGTCAATGGTTGAGACCTAATCTTCTCCTAGCAAAAGATTTTTTAGTTCTCATAGAAAAAAAAAATTAGCATCTTTTATTGATAAGATATGTTGTTGTACTGATTTGTTAGGACAACCAGACATGTTGCTTTATTCGAGTTGAGAGTCGAGAATTTTAAATTTATGAGTTTTAGATCATAATTTTAAGTATATATATTCTTAATATAAATAAATACATTATTTAGGCCGGACCTAATAGTTTTTGTGGTAGATCTCTCCTCCATATCCTTTGCAATTTAAATAAAAACAAAATAATTTTCTCCAAAAACTCTCATATTTTATTTTGACCTTTTATATGTAAAAAAAAAAGAACTTCTTGAATTTGTTTTATGCAAAACTAATCACTTGACCATTTTTTAAGACAAAGAACAAAATTATTTGAAAGATAATAGTAGTAGTTATTGATAATTTCTTATTTTGATACTTATGAATATGACAAAGTAAATTTAATTTTTAATTCATTGAAACATGTATTTTTGGATTTTTTAGGTAAAAAGTATGTTATGTTTCGACTATATTTAGAACTATATTACCATCTAAATATGGAAAATATTAATGCAAGCTTCATAACATATGAGTAAAGTAGTGGAACAATTAGTAATAGTGATATATTTGTGGATATAAACAAGCAAAGAATCAAAGTGCACATTTTAGTTAATTGTTGATTAAGTGTATATACACTTAATAGTATGTAATAATTGTGGGACCAAAAATGTCATTTACCCTTAAATAAATAAGGAATGATTGGAATCTTTTCATTGTTCAGAATTCTTGAAAATGAAATAGTTGTTGTGAAAAATAAATCTTACAGTATGTAAATAAATATATATATTTTCGGTGAAGAAATTTATTTATTATTCACTTCAAAAAAATCGTTCTTTTTTTCTTATGAAAAAATAGCACAGACAAACAAATATTTGATTCTTTTAGCATCCAATTTAACCATCTAAGTTGGGGATATAAAATTTCAGGAATATGTCTTTGAAATAAAAGAATATTATTATAACAAAAGAATAGATATATTTTGAGGAACCAACCCAACTTCATAACCTATAAGCATAGATTTCTACTTTGACAAAAATGTTAATTAATCGAATTGGTGCAATAGGTGATATTCCACGATGAAAGCTAGAGGTTGATTTCTTTTATCAATATCTTCTTAGTCGAGTTCCTCACATCGAACTTATCTAATGTGATTTATAATTTTTAGAGTCTGTGAGCTTTTACACAAAAACAAAATTTATTTTGTGTGCATCCAAAAATAACGACTATCAATTTGCCTTAGGTTCCAAAAAAAAAAACCTAAATCATAAGGAAAAAATAGCTAGAATGATTGGTGATTAATTCAACATTATAATATACATTGATTATATAAAAGTTTTTATATCCTTAGCGATATTCTTGGTTTCGTTATTGTGCGCATAAAAAGTGACCTGAAAAATAAAATACATTATTTTACATTAATTATACACTATACTAACTTAAATTTGTGAAAAATAATAAATTCAGATCATTTTTATTGTAAATTTATTGGACTGTTGTGTAGTATAAATCCCAATGATCACAATAACACATCAAAAGAGTTTTATTACTTGGAAAAATTATTCAAATTTGACGCTAAGTTTAATAGTTTTATTATGCCACAACATTTTGTTTTTTTTCTTAACGATATTTGTGTGGTAATAGAACTTTTAAAATTTGTAATCATAGACAAAATTTTAAACTTAGAATGTGTCCAACATTATTTTTTTTTGGCAATTCCAATGAGAATGAAGAGGAAAAGTAGTACGTGAGTTGGATTTAGAACATCGTGAGACTCCTATCTACCTTTGGTGTTAAACGGAGAACTGCGAGAAGTCAACCTAGTACGAGAGGACTAGGTTGGACTAACCTATGGTGCACCGGTTGTTATGCCAATAGCAACACCAGGTAGCTAAGTTGGTATGGAAGAACCACTGGGCTGTGGGAAATCCTTCTCTATACAAATTCTCAAGCGAGGTTTTTGAATAAAACTTCGAAAAAAAACAATCTCATACCGAATGAAACGACTTTCACTTTCCATAGAATGATAGAAATGATATCGGCCAAAGGTAAGTAAATAATAATGCAAACAAGAATATTTCAGCTGGCAAAAAACACATAATTAAAGCCAGAAAAAACATTTTAAGTAGACAAATACTAGCTAAAATAAACAACCCTAAGCTTACTTCCTATTACCCTCCACCTTTTTCTATACAACAATAAAAACCATTTCCCTTCTCCTTGTACCAAATCAAAATTATAGTACTTCAAAGGGCAAGAGCCAAAAAAAAAAAAAAAACTAGCCCGAACGATGAATCGCCATTCTACAAAAGCAATCCTGAGAAGGGACTAAAAGGCTTGGCACGTTGAGAATCTGGATATTGTGGCGAAAAATGAGGATTAGCTTTGAGAAAAACCACGAGGGTTGGCCTAAGTGTACAATGTTAGTCATGGCAAGCATGGTTGATTGCTCGCTCTTAACACGTCCAGACAAAGATCACAGTCTCTCATCTGTTGAGCATTGTTAAGTACAAGGTCTACCTGTTGCTGGTATAGACGCTGCTTGGTGATACGAATGCATCATTGCTGTGTCGTTATCAATGGCCTTAGCAGATTCCTCTGCGCCTTTTGATGTTTGCTCCAAGAGGCGAACAAGTGAGATGAATATCTCCATCCTCGTCACGTCTCTATTTGCCTGTAATTAAACATCAAATTATTGAAATGTTTGGGCTACTATAAGAAGGCATAACACCTAGATAGCCCCTTAAACTTGACACGTTTGATAAGATAAGACGCTCAAACTTAGTCAGTGACCATATAGACAGTTGAACTTGGCAGAAGTGTGTACCTCTACAGCAAACCTCGCCCATATTTTGTCGTTCCTCGTTTCCATAACCCCTTTTAAGATGGTCAAGCCCAATCCTCTTATTATGTCGGCTATTTCCAGAAATAGACCGCGTTCTTCACAAAGCATCTGCAGAAAACAAACCAACTCAGCTGAAATAAATGAATGAGTCCACAGAAGAGTCAAAACTTCATAATTTATAGATGTCCTGACCTCCACGAGCATTTGACGAGGTTGATTCAGATCCTCAACTATGATCGGGCAGACCATAGACTGTGAACCAACTTCATATGCCCACGTCGCTCCTCCTTCAAAATTATCTTTTAAAAGCAATCCTCCTTCCTTGCTGATAATCTGCAAGTTGACAACATGAGGGGAAAGGTCGTAAGTAATTCTCATACATTCAGGCTTCTTGTATCACTTGCTAGCACGTCATCCGAACATTTTGTAGACACATTTCAATGTGTATCATCTGAACTTGAAAACTAATTTTTGACAATGGGATCTTAACAAAGGTTCAATGGTTATAATCAAACCTTTGACTCTCCAGTCTGTTTTAATTTGTCCGCATGTTTTGTGACGCTCTGCAAGAAAAGCATGTGCTTGATCGTGCGTTCCAATAGTGCATCAATGCTACACTGAAATCACAAAACCAAAATGGAAAAGGTATCTGTAAGAGAAAATATTCATTCAACGAGTCTACAAAACTAGAGAAGGACATGATAAATAGTTCAAAATATGTACCTTTGCCCCATTTGGAACAATTTCTCGCAGTTCTTTCACACGATCTTGGATCATTTGCCGATCTTTTGGCCTAGGTCTAGGATTCTCTCCTGGTTTAAGCCTTTTGCGACCAGTCTTGCTCGTCTCATCAGGCTTTTTAGAATATCCAGTAGAAACACTGCTAGTTGGCTTTGTATCATGACCTTGTTCCACCCATGAACTAATTTGTGACCCATAAATTGAACTACTCTGCGAATAAGCTCCTGTCTTTTCTTTATCGGATCTAAATGACCGAGAAACCGTTGTTCCTGATTTTGCAAGGTTCTTGGGTTTCCCAAATACATCTCCTTGAATTTGACTCGAGAAATCAGCTCGGCCATAGGACGATGAGATATTTGGAGCAGAGGAGCTACTCAAATTTGTCAACGTTGTCCGACAAGAAACATCATCATCCAGATTCTGCTTGGCAGAAGGCTTGGACGCTATAGAATCCAAAAATCGCTCAAAACCAGCCACAAAGAATGATCCACTATCTGATTTTCCTTGATTGACTATCAAAGAAGCATGCTGACTAATCACAGAAGTAGAGTTACTCTTAACCCGATCCCATGTGTTTGAGTCTGGTCCATTACTTTGATAACTGTTCCTGCTTCCATTGAATAGTTTATTTTTAAAATCAGCACCCAGAACATCAAACAGGTCATCCCCCGAGTGACGTTGGACACAGGAATCTTCATACTTGTTGTTTTCAAGCAATGCACTCTGCCCCACATATTCATGTTTTTCACCACAAACCTCTTGCACCAACTTGCTTGTACTACATGGATGCTCATTCTGTGTTAGCATAATTCCAAGTGCTTGAAACAAATCATTTTCGACTATTCCATTACTCTCATCCCACATAAATTGTGCATTCAGACCATCAGAAATATTACGAGTTATCAAATCATCCCCAACATTTAATTTTGACGTGGTTTGAAGCCCATTTCCAGCCGACTTTGTGCAAGAACTGATTATGTTTGATAGTCCATTGGCATCAGCAGTAGAATTGGGGAATGGAATTGATCGGTGATGCCCATCCCCTCGTTTACATAGTTCATTTTCTCCAGTGGATGGAGAAATTGAATTTCCATGACAACTAGAGATCAGGACATCATTGGGTCTTGGATCAGATGCAGTGAAACCATTAAGCTGGGATACATTGCTTAAGCTGCCGCTATCTACAGTTAATGAGTCAGTAAAAGATTGCTGATGAAAAGGAGGCCTCGGAATGTGTGAAGGAGCTTGTTGACTCATCCACATGTTAGAGCTTGGAGAAATTACCTCCGCTTTAATCACGTTATTTATTAGCTGGCTATTAGGAGACAGATGTGCTTTCACCTCTGGAATAATTTTTTTGTGAAACTGACGATCATCATGAGATTCAACAAAACATTGGGTCATATTGGACGCTGGAAATGTTGCATCGGTAGACTGCATTATTCTATCCCGAACTTGTGCAGCCATAGAGGAAGAAGTTTGACAAATAAAACCATCAGTCTGACTTGAGTTGCCCTGATAACTGCAGCTAGCAATAACCGGAGCAGAGTTCATTACGTTTGTGCTCACACAAGAATCTACAAGACTTGAACTTCCCAGATAAACTGGTGTGCCAGTATTCACCATCAGATCTTTCGTTGCATTTTCATCGGATAACAAGACACCAGGGACACATCCTAGTTGACTTATCAGTATCCTCACATCCTCCACAAAACTCGTGCTCTCCATTATCTGAGGCAAAAAAATTACCATTTTACTTGATGTAGTTTATGATAGTAGTTATAAAAAAAGAAATTCAATCAATGAATAAGCCTAAATATCGGTATTAACAAAAGTAAAAAATGCAAAGAAAGCTCCAAGGTCCGTTGGGGCTATAAGCGCAAATAAATTGTGGGGTTTACTGAAAAAAGACGAAAAGGGAGAAAAGGTACAAATATTTATATTTAGTCCAAGAGTAACAATTATAAAAGCATGAATGACAAAATATATGAACAAAGAATTGAAAAATATTTACGATAAAGTGATATATCAATTGTTTAGTATCGCCTCATCGGCAAGGAAAAGAGCATGCCTTAGAACCTTGATGACGAGACTAAGGCGCACATTAGGTGAAACGCTCAATACGTTTTGAATCCCACTTCAAGGCTTAAAAGCGCACCTCTGACAACACTGCTATATATTCTACTCTATTTGACCCCTAACTTGTCTTTTAAAGGCAACAACGACGAAAATACAATTTTTTGTTCTCTGTCAAAAAAAAAAGATAGAAAATGAAAAACAAAAAGCAAAATAGACTTACATGCAAGCATGATCCAAATTGGACGACACCATGAGGAAGAATAGGAACAACTGCAATTGTCTGCATGTATCAACAATATAAAGAATCAGTGACCAGCAAAACTAAAACACACATTAGTATGTATGTTATCTCAAGCACATTGTACCTGGATGCCAGCAGAATATTGTCCTGTGAGCTCTTTCAGGACCTAAAAGAACAACAGCATATGGATACACCAATGAGTATCAGTTGTTTCATCAGGACACATACCGTAACATCTCCCATTATAAAAAATAAAATAAAATAAAAAAGGATACAAGATTTAGGATTAACCTAGCTTAAGTTTATCTTTAGCCTTTTGAAAAGATAAAAATAAAAATAATTGTATATATAGTTTGTCTTTAACCCAGACCAAATTCAGTTCAATGGTAAAACTATCAAATTTTAACCACACAACTGATTATCGCAAGGGGCAGCTATTCAAATTTCTAAATGCTGTTGAGAAAGCATAAATCCTGTATACTAATGCATACTACATATTCTCTTAGGATATAACTTAGTGGTCGTTAGGCCATGAATATTTTTTTACTTTTTCCGGAGTTGAACATCATGTTTGGAAAAATATTTTGAAGAACACCAAAAAGTTGTTTTCTAAATGAGTGATCACTCACAGAAATTCAAAACAAGTCCAATTTGTATATTATACCATTTTTCACTTTGAAAACAACAACTTTTTTTCAAATTTCACAACGGCAAACGGGCTCTTAACCTCAGCATGCTAAAAATTATATCAAAATGTACCTCTGGTGGATGAACTACTCTATTAAAACCCTCTGAATGAAACCACTGATGACTCCCAGTAACTGCAGCCCGTCCGACTAGTCTGAGAAGTAAAATTATGCATATCAACGACATGGTATAAATAAACAAAATCTTTTCAATACTTTTTATAAAAAAAGAATCAATAAACTGAAAGTTCAGATATTATACCCTTCTCCTACTATATTGATTTGACTTTCCATCATCATTTTGTTTACAAGCATATGCACTCTCTCCCCTGCTTGATTCATAAGCTGAGGATTACGTACCTCCCCCGAACCCCAGCAAACCCCCCAATCATGGAATGATAGTTCCGAATTCTCAACCCCCGAAATTCCATGAATTCCGGAGAATGTTGAAGGTTCATAATAGGATTCTTCCCAAATTAAAAGCCTGCCAATCACAACAAGTAAAAAAATTAGAAAAACTATAGTAAATACCAGCAGATAAGCCAAGATTCAGTGTCATTAATATTAATATAGAAAGTGACAGTTCTATGTGTTCTTATAAGCAAGATTACTGGAGAAGTGCATACATAAAACAAAGAAGAAGAAAGAGACAAGAAATTGGAGAATAACAACACATAGAATCAAACAAGAATGAGTAATGAGTATATGTTTCTATACAGTGAAATCATAACAGTATAAAGGGTTTCATCAGATTAAAACAAATCACTTTCATTTATTTATTTTCCTTTTCATTCATTCCAATAAGATTCTTCAAAACAAAATGGACTGGAACAAACCACAACATTCCAAAAGCAGAAAATGACAGTTTCCAGATAATAAAAGAAAAAGCAAAAACACAACAATATCTAGTAAATTTATAGCATGTCAAATCATATCTACCATAATAAAAAACAACAACAACAACATACTCAGTATAATCTCACAAGTGGAGTTTGGAGGGGGTAGAGTCTAGGCAAACCTTAACCCCTCCGAAGCAGTCCAGAAAAAGAAGTAACAAAAGTACAAGAAATAGCAGATAGTAAGAAGACACTAACTACAACAAAATAATATGATAATCGAAAAAACAAGAATAGTACAGCTATCAGCATGGATGGATAACAAGACACCACATTGTTACCTACTAGCACAGTATTATGCTACACATTAAAGAAAGCTAGCAGTTTTGTTTGGTCAAAAAAAAAAAAGAAGTGAACGCAATAGAATCAGTGAAACTCAGTTCACAGTATTGCAGCAACAGCTGAAGTGCTGAACAACAAAAGGACCATCAGACTTTTAACACTTTTTCAGTTTATTACTTTCATTTGTCTTCCATTTTCTCAGCAAAGAGAAAGAACAGTTGTCAGCACAAAATCCAAAACAGAAACCAGAACAACAAGAAAAATGAAAAGATGAAAAAACAAATGCCATAGAAAAAACAAACAAAAAAATAGTAAAATCCTACACTTTTCTCCATTTTGCCTCAAAAAGAAATGAATTCATAAACATCTAATTTTCTTTTATCAAATCATAAGCAAGATTATAGGATCAGTATTCTCTTTTATCAACTCTCATTTTCTTTTTGGTTTAGTAAAAAAGAACAAAATAAAGCTACACCCAACAAGAAACAGCAACTACATACCTACAATATTCCCACAAGTTGGATCTAGCAAAGGGTAGAATAAACTAGACCTTACCACTAACTCGTGAAGGCAAAGAAGCTCAAGTGCAACAAATCAAAATTTGACAGTGGAGAAAATAAGTCAATTGATACAAAAGACAGTACAAGGCATCCAGAAAATGAAATTTCACATAAAAATGAACTCAATGTCTGAATCCACAAGCCAAGATTGCATTTTTCAACTTTCAACTACATGAAAAAACTAAAACAAGAATCAACATGAAATCTGAAATCAACCCACAAGCCAAGATCACTTTTTTTTCACTTCCATCAAACAAAACTTTCACATAAAACCTCAAACTCAAGTCACAAGCCAATACTATTACATTTTCTTGAAAGAAAAAAAAACTTCATTCATTGAAAAAAAAACTCACTTTGTGTTCTGGCAACCGATCTTCCAGTAAACAGCATAAGACCATTGGTTGACTCCACACAGAGTCTTTAAAACCTCTTTCAGCAAATACCCCATTTTTGCACTATTCTTTTGTTTATTCACTTCCAAATTTTCTCAGCTAAAAAATTACAGATTAAAGAAACTAACTCCCCCTGCAAGACCCACGCCCTGCCTGTTTAGTTCTCAGTCCACCACTTCTTTTTCTCACAGGATCCAAATTTTCTACTGATTTTAGCCTGCAACCCATTCTATGGGTAGAAAAAAAAGGTTGAAACTGAAAGACGAAGAAAAAAAAAAGAACTTCTGTTTTCCTCAGCCAAGAAAATGGAGAAGAAAACTACACTATACCACAAGCTTTAAGTTCACAGTTGACAACAAACACAATTTTCTCCATTTTTAACAAAAACCCAACAAATATATGAATCTTTAGTGACTAAAGAGAGTACAGATCAAAGCTTTATTAGTTTTCAGTGTGTTCTTGATTCTTGGGGATGTTAAAAATAGAATCTTTGGTGTTCCAAAGTGTAATCACTGTGTGTATTATGTGTTTCTTTGGGAAGTGGGTAGTTGAGAGAGGAGGCTGCTGTTAGTGTTTTTGCTCTGTGTGCTTTTTTTCATCACCAGAAGAAGTAGTAGCATCAGAGAGGGAAGAGGAAGGGGGTAAAAATAGGTGGTGCTGAGTGTGCTAACATATGCTTATGTCTTGCTAAAATGCGCTAATGATTTTATTAGTGAGGGAGTTAATTAGTTTAATTTTTCTTGGAGTTGACAGAAATAGCCTTGGAAATAGTAGAGAATTACGTGTAATGTGCCACTGTAGGAGTTTCTTGTCGGCTTTCTAATTCAGGAGGCTCATTGTACATTGGGACTACACAAAAGAATCTCAATTCAATATCTGTATTGAATTTCGATTAAATACGAATAGTAATATGTTATACTTTTTATTGTATTTTTTATATGATTTACTTTTCTTTTTAGTTCGTTTCAAAAAGAGTTATATATTTTTATATTTAATTTTAAAATATCTATTTTATCTCTAATGAAATGATTTATAGTTACACAAATATTTATAACTTATTTTAGATCATTAATTTCAAAAATCTTTCTTTATTTCCTAAATTTCGTGTTAATTAAAATGGAAGGAGTATATTATTCATTTTTGAGATGTTGTTCTTAGTAGAATATTTTTTTTGTTTTTTTTAATGTTTTTTTTATTTAAAGATTTGATATTTGTATTGAACTCTGATCAAATTTGAATTGCACGTTTTATGATTCATTTTTGAGACAGCGTTTTCAATAGAATATTTTTCATTTTTTTATGTTTTCTATTTAAGATTTAACATATATATTTGAACTCCGATTAAATTTAAATCATATACTATTATTTAATCCATTTTTTAGATGGTGTTCTCAATTGAATTTTTTCATTTGCAAATATCCAAATCCGAATTTCCTTTACGTGAGGAGTAAAGTATTCGTCATCAAAAATAATTTTATATCTAAAATTTAAATTTAAAATCTCTAATTAATC